TATATATATATATATATATATATATACATACATACATATATATATATTTTTTTAAATAATTTTTTTAATACTAATATTTGCCCGAAGTCTGTCAAGATATGAGAGTTTGTGGTAACACAAAAATAATAAAATATTTAGCAGCATAAGTGATAAATAGGTGACAACACTCAGTTCATAAGAAACTACAATTTTGCTTCCCTTGCTCTGGCTTGTTTAAGAGAACAGAAGTTGGGACACTGAACCATTTATAAATCTTCCCTGAGGCAGTTTGTTGTTTATACTTTGGTCACCTTTTAAGCTTAACAGGCCTTACCGCCTTTTCACCAAGAATACTTTTTTAAGAGTTCAGAAGTAGAAATAGAGCTGATGAAACAAATCTTGCTATTGAGAAACCTGAAATAAACACTCTTTGTCAACCAGAAAGGTTTTAGGCGGCGGTCCTTTGACCTTTCCTAACACTGCTCACTCGTCCAATGTCCACACTGGGAACCACAAGGGATCCCACATCTGCTGATAGAGGCCCCATTTTATCGAGGGAAAGTTAGATACTGCCCTTAGGTGAGCCCTTTTATAACTTTCTGTTCAACTGTACATTAAAATATTAAATACATACTTTGCATTTCTATTCTTATCAAAAATAAATATTAAAAGTGGCTATTTCACATCATTATCTATATTAGTTTTAGAGCTCCTGGCATCTGTTGCAATAGTAAGTGGGGATACAGCACAAGGCCACACCTACTCTTTATGATATTTATGCCATCTGAATGCTGCAGTGTCATTATACTCATTATACTCCAGGTTTTGGATCACAGATATGATCCCAGCTGAAGAACTGGATCTGCTATTTACAATGTAGGTGATGGCGGAAATATAAATAGGAGCACACTGTGCTATCATACAATCATATTACAATGTGACTGTAAGCACTAGTAAGTTCATAGTTACATCTACTACAACAGCAGCAGCAGTAAAAGAGAAAAATAAAGTAGTAAAATCTGAGAAACTAGTTTTAAGGCTTTGGCAGCTTGCCTCTGTCAATACAGCCAATAAAATACGCATAAAACTACATTAAATTGACTCCACGTCTTACCTTTCACGTCAAAATTCAGCCTTGTTTAGCATTCACTGGATTCATCAATCTTTGAACCCAGAGGGGAAGTTGTATCGGGGCGGAAGTGTGCTATTTTATAACCTAAAAAAAACCCAACACTTTTCAGCCCACAGCAGCTGCTTAGCTATTCACAATTCACACAGACACGCAGTACAAACCAACCCACATGCAAGTACAGACAGCTTCGATTGACTGCGCCCGCCTTCAGGCTTCCTTATGTTTGTACCTTCTTACAGCGCCCTCCTCTATTTCCTTCTTCAGCTCAAATTTCATTTTTGTGATGTAACAGGAAGTCACTCTGTTTTCTGCTAAACCAGCAGGAGCCGCTCTCATTGCTCTTTGGCCTGTGGTGCAACTTTGAGGTGCTGCAACGACAACAACAACAAGTAAATGGCACACAAGATATTTCACTTCAGAGGAACCCAAACCTCGGCAGATGCTTTACTGCAGCTGTATCAAAACACTCCAAGCATTTCCACCACCACTGCTAACTATAAATAAATAAATATATCTGATAATTTATTAGTAAACAAACAGTAAAAGCATAGATGCTTTTGGGCAAAAGTCTGCTTAATCTTTCAGTTTATTGCCTAAAGAAAGGTGAAACAGTCTAAAGTGATATAGGAGGATTTAATTACAGTAGTTTTCTAGCAGCAGCAGTTCTTGGACATCTATTTCATCAATATCATACGAATCATTCAAATGAATGAATCTAGTTGATGAATCTGTAATCTAAAAATGTTAATTACCTCACAACTTTGTAATCTTTCTACTCCATACCATCATCCGTTTTCTCACACCCTGCAACTCTCGAAAGAAGACCTAAGCTCCATTTAGACATGTAATCCTTTTTGATCCGTCGCTTGATGATAAGCTGCTTCCTCTCACTCGTTCACTCTGTCGCTCTCTCTTTCTCGTTCTCCGCCTCTGTCTGTCAGTTCAATTCAATTCACTTGATTTTATCTCTTTTTGCTTTTACCCCACAGGCTTTGCTGGCTAATGGTGCTCTGATTTCCTGTATTTATGAAGATATTTCTTCCTTTTTTTCCTTGTTTTTATGTTGTTGGTTGTGTGAATGTGTGCTTTCTTTTTTAATTTTTATATCTATTTGTCAGGAAGTAGCTCACAAAGTGGCTCCATTGAATAGTGGTTTACTCATTTTTCTAATAAGTGAAAGATCCCTGGTTTGATTCCAGGAGCAGACACAAGTCTCTTTGGGTCAGGAAGGGTATCTGGAAAAAAATAAATACATAAAATCAAATATGCAGAACTACCTGTCTTGTTGATAAGAAGACAGCTGAAAGAAGATCTATATGTCTGAATTAGACACACCATATTAAGGTATGTGCTGTGGTAAAACTGTGTATCACACTGAACACAGAATACAATAAATAAAAACTTCCAGTTGGATGTTGTCAATAGAAAATTGTATTTGTTTAGTCAGCATAAGCTTTTAATGATATAAGTTTATTTGTGATAGAATGCTGCATGATGATCTTTTCCTTGCTTAGAACTGATTGTTCTTTTCATTGCTCAGAACTGATTGTTCTTTTCATTGCTCAGAACTGATTGTTATTTATGAAAACGTGTTCTGATATTTGTATCTGAATCTTCCCACAAGTGATAGTAAGAAGTTGAACAAGCAGTTCTGACCTTACACACACACACACACACAATCACATATGCACATGCTTATGTCACTGAACAAATGTTTTCATTTCTCTTGTATAAATAAAGAAAGCAGGACGGTGACAGAGCACAAGACTCACTTGTCCTCGCGAGTAAAGACAACTGCAGTGTTTGTGTTTTCTAACTCAAGTGTCTCAGCTGAAGAATTGCGGGGTGATTTTAAGAAATCCCCTCACAGATGTATTCATTCTTTCTTGGGGTTTTAAACACTAAATTAAGCTCCAGTATCAGACTCTCAACACTGGGCTGAAAGCCTGCTCCTGACCCCTGTGACATCTGGCAAACACAGCCTGTACTTTGGTGTCTGCAACTGTCCCATCACATGACATTTTGTGGAGACGCAAACTAAAGCTAAAGCTGGAGAGTCACCCTACATGTAGAGGAGCAAATGCAAGTCAATATGGTAGTGATCTAAACATGGCTGGAAGTGTTGCCAGAAGTACAAAATGTATATTTATATCAGCTAAGTGAATATATAAATAGTAATGTTGCTCTTGTTGCTACCAATGAGGCCTTGCCCTTTAGGACCCTGTGTATGGTGCAGGTCCTTTGAGCTCTAGCCTCTGTGAAGCACATGCTGACAATGCTTCAACAATAATAAACCAGGCATTGTGTAGATATGCATAGATATTAAAGCAAAAGCTTTTCAAATGTTGTACAGTGTGTTTGCTGTTTTAAAGTAAAGGAGATATAGGCCAAATTCATTCTGTGTCAGTGTCTTTGAAAAAGGAGAAACTTCAGATTTGGTCCAAAGGGCAAAGGTTAATCTCTGATGAACGAGGTTAGAATAAAAATTAACAATATTAACTTTCCAAGAACACTAAAAGTTTTTCTCTTAAAGTAAAAAATTAAACTCTCTTCTAAACTAGGGTGTTTTTCAAAAACAAACATGGGTAACATTGTTCACAGTGACAAAAAACTAGGCTGAAATAGTGTGGCTTGGAAAAAAATGCACATGTGCTGCCCGACTCATTGTTAGCTATATTAGCATAAAGTTAAAAAAAAAAACAAAAACAAAAAACAAACACGAACGACTGAGCAATATTCATCCATTAATTAACAGAGTCAAACACAGATCTTGGGTTCACCCTCTTACACAGCATTACCATACTCAGTCACCTTTGTAGTTACCTTACTTATTTAACAGATGTTTTAAATCTTTTTTTAACATACTGCGGTCAGTGTTGCCAACTCCTCAGTGAGGAAAATCGCTATTGGCTGTCCTAAAAGTCGCTAGAAGTCGCTAAATGACGTCATCACCTAATTTGCATAATTGGTCATGCTAATATAATTGTAACCTACGTTGTTGGAGAGAGAAATAACATCGTGGAAGAGACATAAAGTGAGTAAAAAACGTCCTAAATACATTTAGAGTTTATTTAGAACTACAAATTAAATGTCTTTTAGCAATTATTGTTTTAATGTCACAATTCCAACCCTGCTCCTTTATCCGGGCTTGGACCGGCAAAAGTGACCCGAAATAGGCACTCTGGTGGAGTTACTCTGTGTGTGAGAGTGTTTGTTTATAAGTAGTTTTAAACCTTGTGATCCACAAAACAGCATAACAGTAAAAGAAGAACTGACTGCGTTACAGTCAGTGAGGGAGCAGCGGCTTCGCTCATGCGCGGTTCATTCGCAGTTTGGACGCACAGGTGTGAACGTCTCCTGCAGCTGGGGGAGGACTATCCTCCGCCCGTGAGCGCTTTAGCACGGGTGAAGTGACCACGGCAGCACCGCTGCTTCTTGAGAGTAAGAGCAACACGCTCTTTCACGTCAAAAAGTCGTCATAAATAAGTCTCCAATAACACCAGAAAAAGTCGCCAGATTTGTCGCTAGTCGCTTTTTAGAAAAAAAGTCGCTAAGGAGGTCTGAAAACTCGCTAAATATAGCGACAAAGTCGCTAAGTTGGCAACACTGACTGCGGTGCTAAATGAGGGCTGTACGTTGGCCTGTCAGTAGTTTACACGCGCTACGTCGCTGAATCTTTCAGTTACTTGTTTCGCGCTTCTGACGTGGCGAGGGTGGAGTACACTGAGGCCTAACAAAAGGACCAGACCATCATGTGTGACAGCAGGGGGGTGGTGTTTATTTTACCTCTGGCTGTTAAATGTTTTGATTTGTGAGTATAATGTTGTGTCTCACTTAATTAGGTCAGTTTGTTCATACCTCGTTTTGACAGCTGTATTTTACCTCCAAGTCAGCTGGATACATTTATACATTTCGAAATGCTTCCTTGACCTTGAGTAGTACATTCGTACTACTTACGGGCTCTTCTTTGCTCTTTTGTATTTCTGGCACGATTTTATGATTGAGGGAGGGTGAACTGAAACCATTTTTTAAATACTGAGCCTGTTCATAATATCAGCAGATATGAATATATAAAAATAAGAAAATCATATTTTACGTTTTGGTTTTGACACAGTTACCTTTACCCTGAAAAAAAGAAAATAAATCAATGATAGCTTACTGTTGCTACTAAATAACAAATGTAAAGTATCTAAATGGCACTCTGAGGATCCAGGCTAACCAGGCATACATTGTTAGTGTGCTATCCAGTTTCAAGCTGTCTAGCATGTGAGAAGCACATGCCTCTCTAACTTGTGCTTTTCAGATGTTATAAACAATACATGCGATATATATCCAACTATGACCTAATTTAGAAGAACACCATTCAAAATATCTTTAACTGAACAAAAAAGGACTCTTCCTTTTTCCTTGCAACTGTCCTCTAGCCCTCCACATTGTCTCACTGACTCTGGCTAAATAAAATCATGAATAAACTATTAAAAAGACAAGTGTATCCGGAGGACTCTTGAAATCTGTGTTTGTAAAATCCTGCTTTGTGCTCTGCCAGTGCTGCGTGTTGCATTATTCACTTGAGGTTGTCTAATGTTAATAACAAATCAGTTATTTGATGTGTTGCCACGCAGACATCAGTGTCACAATTATAGTGCCCAGTAAGTGTTTTGTTTTTCTCCTGCTGTGTATGACTGCAATTACCCCAAAAAGCGCCTCGAGCAATCTTGCTTTTATGAGCACTTCAGTGACGTGGGTTGTTTGATGTTTCCATATTCACTTGTTTTCAATATGCATTTATTGAAAGGCTGCACTCTGCTGGGTTTTATAATAGAGGCTGTGGGCCATTTTAAGCTGTGCACACTGTGAAAAGACCAAAAGAAGGTCAGAAAGTCTGTTTCCTCTCAGCAAGAACTCATTACCCAGAGGCCACCTCTTCTGGGCCACTCCCTCTTTAAAATGTCAGTGTTCGAAACTGTTGTAAACACGCCCTTACTCCCATACTAAAAAGGTCAGGAGCTATTTAGTAACAGCTGATAGTATCATTAGCTGTATCCTAAACTTTCACCCTCTTTTTGCTTTGAATAATTCAGGCATCAGTTATTTAGTAGGGGGCTGCAGTGGGGGGGTATGGATGTGTCTTCTTGTCAGGTGTCTGATCTCTGTGTGAAGTTTGATTAATGAAAAGCAAATCACATCAGAATAGGCCGGCAGTCTGACCCTGTGAGAATGAGTAAACTTTTAGAACATAAAGTACGTTTTTATTAAAAAATGCAACGTTTGGGTTTAATAACAATTTGCCCTTAATCATTGTGATGTACCAAAAATAAAATTAAAACAATTGCTGTTTTAATCTACTGTCACAAAGAAGCTCAGAGACAGAAAATAGATCTTTTATAGAGGTGTTCATAAATTAGTCCTACATCCAAAAAAATTGGATTTCACCTTAATCTGAAACAAGAAATACTCACAAAAATGAGTACACCCCTCACATTTTTGTAAATATTTTGTTGTATTTTTTCATGGGACAACATTAAAGATATGACACTTTAACACAATGTAAAGTAGTCAGTGTACAGCTTGTATAACAGTGTAAATTCACTTCCCCCTCTAAATAACTCAACATACAGCCATCATTGCCTAAACCGCTGGCAACAAAAGTGAGTAAACTCCTAGGTGAAAACGTCCAATTTGTGCCTGATTAGCCATTTTCGATTCTACTGTCATGTGACTCGTTAGTATTACAAGGTCTGAGGTGCAAATGGGGAGAAGGTGTGTTGTATTTGGTGTAATTGCTCTCACACTCTCTCATATTGATCACTGGAAGTTTAACACAGCACATCATGGCAAAGAATTCTCAGAATTCTTTACTCTACATAAAGATGGCCTAGGCTATAAGAAGATTGCCAACACCCTGAAACTGAGCTGCAGTACGGTAGTCAACACCATAACGCAGGTTAACAGGACAGGTTCCACTCAGATAAACCTCGCCATAGTTAATCAAAGAAGTTGAGTGCACATGCTCAGCGTCATATCCAGAGGTTGTCTTTTAAAAATAGATGTATGGGTGTTGCAAGCATTGCTGCAAAGGTTGAAGGTGTGGAGGGTCAGCCTGTCAGTGCTCAGACCATACGCCACACTACATCAAACTGGTCTGCATGGCTGTCATCCTAGAAGGAAGCCTCTTCTAAAGATAATGCACAAGAAATCCTGCAAACAGTTTGCTGAAGAGAAGCAGACTAAGGACATGGATTACCTGTAGCCTGATGAGACCAAGGCAAACTTATTTGGTTCAGATGGTGTTAAGGGTGTGTGGAAGGTGAGGAGTACAAAGACAAGCATTTCTTGTCTATAGTCAAGCATGGTAGTGGGATGTCATTGTTTGGGGCTGCATGATTGCTGCTGGCACTGGGGAGCTACAGTTAATTGAGGGAACCATGAATGTCAACATGTACGGTGACATACTGAAGCAGAGCACAATCCCCTCCCTTCAGAAACTGGGTCGCAGGACAGTATTCCAACATGATAACAACCCCAAACACACCTCTAAAAAGACCAGTGCCTCGCTAAATAAACTGAGGGTAAGGGTACTTGACTGGCCAAGCATGTCTCCAGACTTAAACCCTATTGAGCATCTGTGGGGCATCCTCAAATGGAAGGTGAAGGAGGGCAAGGTCTCTAACATCCACCAGCTCCATGATATCATCATGGAGGAGTGGAAGAGGATTCCAGTGGCACCCTGTGAAGCTCTAGTGAACTTAATTTCCAACAGATTTAAGGCAGTGTTGGAAAAATAATGGTTGCCACACAAAATATTGACACTTTGGGCACAGTTTGGACATTTTCACCTAGGGGTGTACTCACTTTTGTCGCTAGCAGTTTAGACATTAATGGCTGTATGTTGAGTTATTTTGAGGTGACACAAAATTTACACTGTTATACAAGCTGTAAACTGACTACTTTACATTGTGCCAAAGTGTCATATCTTCAATGTTGCCCCATGAAAAGATATAGCAAAATATTTACAATAATGTGAGGAGTGTACTCACTTTTGTGAGATACTGTATGCAGCACCCTAAAGAGACTGTATTCTACACTTACTGGTTTTACTGAACTTTATTCTCTACAAACAGATTCTGTATATGAACCACTAAGTCAGGCTAACCTATTGGGCTCTCACATCGGCTGAACCTCTTACATAATACAGACAAACCCATAAAATCCTGACACCACGAGCTTTGCTTTGGATGAAACAGTTATTAAGGATTTAACGGTATCACCCTCAGGCTGATTTAAAGCTTCAGACAGATCTAATGCTACAGCAACATTTTTTATGTTTTACAATGAAATTTATTTGATTTCTCCTGGAGTTATGACCAAAATTTTAGCAAAAAAAAAAAAGCAAAAAAATATACTTGTTTTAACATTTATTGTCACGTTTGACCTATAAATACTCCAACATCTTTAAGCAGATAAGCTTTCATCAACACAGTTCATCGAAATTGTCATGGTCCCCGTGTCTGCCCGGCCAGCTCCACAAGGCCACATGTGTTTTGTGTACATTCTCCTCTCTCCTCCCCGCCAGGGCGGAGCTCACTGCAGGCTCCCGCCCTTGGCACACACCTGCATCTCGTCAGGCTCTGATTACGGGTTGGACTCTTAAGGCCGGGATGCAGACAGCCTCACCGCTGGATGATTATGCTAGACACGTTAGTGAACCTCTGCCTCGAATCTTTAAGCTTTGTAGACTTGCTGCGATCTCCGTGTAACTTTATTTTCTCCTGTGCACAGTTTTCCCCGGACCCGTGACTAACCTGTTATTTCTACTGCTGTAAAGAAGAAGAGCCAGCGTGTTTGTGACTCTAATCCCGGACCTCCCTTTCGGACCTAGGACCCCCGTTCCCCTCACTGTATATATCTGCACCTGGTGGTTGTGTAAATAAACGTTGCTTTCCCCTGAACTCTGCTCTGCGCCTGAGTCCTACTACACCGCATGACAGAAATGCTGGATCTTCATGTTCCACCAGTGGTAAGCGTCCACCAGCGATGCTCCACTAATAGAAAGAACTTTCAAAACCTGGATGCAGGATACCAAAAGAGTGTCAACATGATATCCAAAATATTTATTACATTTAAATCAAATGTACATAAGCAACATACAATACCATCAACCACAGATAATACAAATGCATTTGTAGGGATCAAACAAAATTTGAAAAGTAAAAACAAACAAAAACTGTAAAATCTCAATCGCCATTTAAACCAGTGTGATTAGCAGTCTGTAATTTATGAATGTAGAACATTTTCTTGTCTTTCAGATTCATTGTCTGTCACTTTTTCCATATGAAATTAGGAATGTGATAAATTCCAAAGGCTTGTAATGTGGATGTGACGGTACTGCGGAAGTGCAAGTACCCAATAACAGTTATACCAAATAACAACCCAGTTATTTATTAAATTACTTGTTTATTTGCCTTTGAATGATGTGATTTAGCTTAAAGAGGTCCATGACTTCAACCAAAAACAATGTGTGTTTCTAATAACAGACAGAACAGAATAAAGTATCAATTTCTCATTAAAAAAATCTGTGTGCTTGTTTGATTGTGCAGACTAAAATGTGAAAACTACGATCAGAGAGTTTATATGTTTGTTTGATTTGTTGAACGATGGCAGACGCATGTGGAGAACTCTCTCTGCCTCACCGGTCACATGTCCTTTGGGCACGTCGCGCGTCTGTGGCGCATCTTTGTGGAGACCTCTGGCAGCAGCAGACTGAGTGAAACAGATCGGATCGAGCACACCTGAGGAATGGAAAACACAACCAGAGGTCTGACCAACCAGTTCGTGCAGCCTCCGTGGCGCGTCGCGCTGTGGTCGGTGGCTTACAGCACAGTACTGGCCGTTGCGGTCTTCGGGAACCTGATAGTGATTTGGATTATTCTGGCGCACAAGCGGATGAGGACTGTCACCAACTATTTCCTGCTGAACTTGGCTTTCTCTGACGTTTCCATGGCCGCTTTCAACACGCTCATCAACTTCATCTACGCGGCTCACGGAGAGTGGTACTTCGGCCAGGTGTACTGCAGGTTCCACAACTTCTTTCCGGTCACCGCCGTGTTTGCCAGCATCTACTCCATGACCGCGATCGCCATCGACAGGTACGGCTGTGTTATTATTAAGCTGGAGAGACGCGTGAGCCCTTTCTGTGACCTCTTTTTACGAACACTTTTATTTTAGTTTGGTTAGATTATCCCCCCCTCCCACGCTGTACATAAATTTCAGCTGAACAGTAGTGTTCAGTGTTATTTTATTTACTGTTTCCTTTATTTTTTTTGTCTGAATTTGGTCTGAAAATACTTATTTTAAAATTGTTACAGTTTTATTTTTTTCCATCTTTAATCTGACTTTAAAAATAAACTACAGCTGATGAATTACACGCTTTAAATGCCTGAAAATGGGTCTGTGGGTCTAATGAGGTCTTGGGTAAATCATAGTATTCTGCCACAGTAACGGCCATTTCAGGGTTTGCATCCCACCTACCATGGAGAAACTCACACTTGTGGGCATCAACTGATAGCTGAGCTCACTCACTCACTAACTTGTGGGCTCTCGGTTGTAGGTACATGGCGATCATCCACCCTATGAAGCCTCGTCTGCCTGCTAAAGCCACTCTGGGGGTCATTGTCTGTATCTGGAGCTTGGCTGTGGTTCTGGCCTTCCCGCTCTGCTACTTCTCCACCATCCGAACTCTGCCCCAAAGGACCGTCTGCTACGTGGCCTGGCCCCGCATGGCCGAAGACTCCTTCATGTGAGATCACACTGACACCCTCCTCTGTTTTTCTCTGAAAACTTAACCATCCTTATCAATTCAGATTTGAGCTGTCTTGTTTCTTGTAGCTTGCGTCACTATCACTCCCACTAAAGCTGCTTTGGTCAAGCAACGTCAGACAGCTTCCTTTAAAAGCTTGGCATCTGCTTCATTATTTGCACAGGTATCATATCATAGTTACAGTTCTGGTCTACATACTGCCCTTAGTGGTGATGGGCATCACCTATACCATTGTGGGGGTGACACTATGGGGAGGTGAGATCCCTGGAGATTCATCTGATAACTACCAAGGACAGCTACAGGCCAAAAGGAAGGTAATCACTGTGCTCATCCAATGCATTCATCCTCTGCCTTAACGAGTTTCTTTTGATTAATAGTGTAAAATGTTTATGGGGGAAAACAAACTTGAATTTAACATAACCTGTAAATGGCTGTAATGAAAACACAGTTCTGCGTGAAGGAAAAAAGATCAAATTTTACAGAAAAGACAAATGTTAGGTCTTCTACATTTACCGTAGCTAACCAAGAAAAATGGCAAAGTTATTTCTCCTATTTGAGAAAATGTATATATTAAAAAAACACTTACCTAAACCAGAGAGGAAAACTACCAGCTCTGTGACTGAAATCCAACATGCAAAGTCTTAAATTTGATACAACAAGTAATGAAATGTTGAAATGCTTTAAGTTAATACTGCGTTAAAACATCCCCGGAGAAGCGATGGTATGCTAGTGCACAACAACTATAAGAGTGCAGATGTTTGATGACACATCTGCAGGTTTAAAGGAAATCCTACCACAATGAACAATCAAATGAAAAATATAAAAAAAATAAATATGAGCATGTCCGCTGACCGCCTCCAGCTTTGATCAGTAAAATGTGACACAGCAGAGGTTCAGCTTTTATCTGAAAACCATATACAGAACAAATGCACTGGCACAAGCTATCTCTTTATTGCCGGGCACTAATGTTGACCTTTGCAACAGCCTGATCACACAGAAGTAAAGAAACTGGCCACATCCTGAAAGCAGAGGATGGGATCCGGAGGCAATCGATTCACTCCTCAGCCAGACGGCACAGTGTACTTTCCAGCAGCTACTGTGAGCGCTGGGTTGAGCAGGGATTAAGGTCATTGCAGATGTCATGACGAGCGTCTATCAAGATGGGCCTGGGATTAATGTCAGTTCATTGATAAATGCTCCATGTAGGATTATTCAAAGAGGGAACTTAAGGGTCAGACACTGGAAGTATTCATTGATTAAGGCTGTGTTGGATGGAATTAAAAGGAATAAATCTGTGGTTTTATTTGTCTTTGACCCAGCAACAGTTTCCCAGCTTGATTTTAACGATCTCATATATGGTTATAGCCATATTTGGCACTTTTTTTCCTGCAAATTGAGGACAGAAAACAAAACTTCTATAAAGTTTAAAATAAGTCTGTTGCTTGCAGGAGTCTTTTAAGAATATTTCATGGCTCTGCATCAGATAAGAAAGCATGCTGTTGCAGATGCACTTCTGCTCATGAATCGCTGCCTGCTCCTTTTTAACCCCCCACAGCTTTGCATTGTGCTGTAACTTGCTGATGCGTTCTGTGGTGCTCTCTCTTCCATCCTACCTGAAACCTCCTGGGTACTGGTGCGTCATCCCTGACCTTTCCCTCTCCTCATGACAGCCATCCTGGACTCAATGAATCGAAATTAATCTAAATAATTACAGAGAGATAAAAATGGTCAATAAACTCATTATTTCCTACGTTGTGCGTTGAGCTACCACGGTGCCAGACATTGCACGCTTAAGTAGCATTTAGAGAAATGTTTGCACTCATAATTTGATATTTCTCCTGCTAAGAATGATGTTTAGGATGCAGGTATGGATAGTATGGAAGTTTGAATAAGGAATAATTGCTCAGTGTGACAAAGTTGAATTAATCTAAAGTAGCAAAAATGTAGCTTTTGAATATGAAGATTTTCTGGATACAGTTTAAACTATGTGGAGTGAAAGGTATAAAGTATAGTGACAAATCAATCATCCAACAGCGTTTCTCTGTATCTATCAGCTCAGATTCAGTTTTACATCCTCCACTTTTTTGTTTAGCTCAGTTTCAGCCCAGTGAGCAGCCAATAGGTAATTGCAAACTCAACATCAGATTTTTATTCAGATATTCTGTGGTCTGACAACTCAGATGTAGATTTTTTTGTTTCACTGTCTAGTGAGGAAGACAAATAAAGCAGCTTACTGGATATTGTATTATTCTTTCTTTAGTCTTTATTTTCATTCTCATTAGAGCCCTTCTGGGGTAAAAGACAAGACATACACAAACAAGGCAGGAGGTCATACACACACCAGAACGAAAACAAAGAAAACAAATTACCCACATCCATTTGAGTTTCTGCTGCACGCGTACATCCTTACAGTTATACAACTTAAATGGTCTCAATCTCTTCCCCAAGCCGTTCCCAAGCTACAGAGCTTAGATAAAAAAACACATTCAGCACTAGTGGAATTCCTCCTAATCAAAACCTCACTGACTGATACCAAATGGAACCATTTGGTATTAATAATAATAATAACTGGTAATTTTCCAGTTGAAGGGCTTGTGTCAGTGTTCTATTGTTTATGCAAAGACTATTGTTAAAAAGATTAGATGTCTTGGTTTCCTTCAGCATATCAGATATTTTCAGCTCCAGTTTTCATGCATCTGTCCTTCACTGCACTGGTACATCCCCATATATAATAAAATCCTGTGCAATCAAATATTTGCTTTAGATTTGCCAGACCACTGTGATTTAAAGACACCTTTACTGTATTGATGCTTTAAGAAACTAAAGCTGGAAAGAATAATTTATTCCTGTTTCTATTCATGGTTCGGATTATGATATATAGTCATTTGTACATATTTTTTAAAAACATTTTTTGTAGTTTTTTTGTGATGCTACCAGCCTGCTACAAAACATCTGATTATTTTTTTCCATGTTGTATTGTCTCAGATGCCACATCTGAGTTTATCTCATAATTCCCCAGACAAGGATTTTGTGTTATTATGTTATACCAGCACAATTTCTCACAGTTACTTATGTTACATTTGCCATTTTGCACACTGAAGAAGGCTGTCTGTCAAAAATCACTGTGCTGTAAAATAGACCCGTTTGCAGCACTTTGACAGCAGGAAAATCACGTGTCACTCCTGACACTAATGAAGGCTCTGTTCTTTTCAAGTGCCCCAGCGAGACACGACAGTGTGGCAGCGAGCCAGCATGCAAAATACCAGCACCCAGAAATAGAAGCAGCTGAACGGAATTAAGCCATCATTCATTTTATTACTGGTGCCTCTCCTTTTCCGCTTTCCTGTGAAATGTCAGAATGTCTTCTGGGGGCGGGGGCCCGCCTACTGATTTGCCCTCCTGCTGATGGCTTGTGTCCTGCAGGTGGTGAAGATGATGATTATTGTAGTGGTTACCTTCGCCCTCTGCTGGCTGCCGTATCATGTCTACTTCATCGCGACGGGTCTCAACAAGCGTCTGAGCAAGTGGAAGTACATCCAGCAGGTTTACCTGTCAGTGCTGTGGCTTGCAATGAGCTCCACCATGTACAATCCCATCATCTACTGCTGCCTCAATAGCAGGTGAGTCCAAGTCAGTCATCACCTCACCAACACTAATCAGAGCATAACTGCATGTCAGCGTTTTGTTGGCTGCAGGTTTCGAGCTGGTTTCAAGCAGGTTTTCCGCTGGTGTCCTTTTGTCCGGGTGTCAAGCTACGATGAGCTGGAGCTCCAAAGCACAAGACTTCGACCGTGTCACCAGAGCAGCGTGTGCACCAGCATCCTGAGCAAAGACAAGAGCACTCGTGGAAACAGGTCGAAACCCAACTCTGAGCTGAATAATAAAGACAGTTAGGGTATTTCTGATCCAATGAACGCACTCCAGCTCAACGTGAATTATTTATTTGTGGATTTTTTATTTCTTTTACATTATTTTGAGCTGATTGTTTCATTTTTTTTTCTTGTGGATTTTTTTTTCACTCACAAACTCAAAGTGTGCTAGTTGCCCATCGTACAAGAAAAGAGACCAGGGGGGACGAGAGCTTTTCAGTCTGTGGCACCAAGGGTCTCTGAAACAGTTTACCACTCTGGCTTTGTTTAGGAGACTCTGTGAGATCTTTTTAAAAAGAAAAAAACAACAAAATTGAAAAACATTTTTATTTAATCAGGCCTTCTGATGAATTTTTTTATGTGTGTTTTTATTTATTTTGATTCTGTTTTAAAATGCTTCTCTTGTAATTAATTTTGTTTAATTGTTGTACATCGATTTGTGAATTTAATGCCTGTGAAAAGTGCTCTATAAATAATCTTTACTTACTTATTATGAAGGATTAAAATTGCACGCAGAAGGAGAAGAATGATAGAACTAGGCAGAAAAAGACAGCCTCTATGCTGGTGGTTAAAAACAAACCAACAAAAAGAAAAACAGGTATGTAGTTGTAAAGCCCTGGCTGTTGATTTGGGCCATTTATTGTGCCTGACAGCTGACAAAGGAAGCGATGGTGCATTAATCCTGAACACACATACATCATAGACATATATTTTTTTGATGAAGACTTTTGTGGATTACTCTAATTTTAGAAATCATAAATATAACTATGAAATGTTTTGCTGCCTTCCAGTCATTAAAATGTTTAATAGTTTCATTTTTTTTATTATGACATGTTTTTGAATATAATTTTGTCAATAAAGTGTCGAAACGTCATATTTTTCGTTGCTTTGTCCACATGAATGTTGTGGGCGTATGTGTATAAATTGAATTATGTGATCATGTGAAAAATTACAAATGTGGTGTTTTTTTTCCTTTTTTGGGGGGTGGGGGAAGGCACTAAATCACACCATACAACTGTGACTACATTTAAGTTCTCATAAATGCATAACAAAGAATTTTAAATATTTCCATTACTCAGTACCCAGAGGTAAAAAGTGAGAACTTTTTATAAAAAGTCTAAAAAAATTCAATTTCTCTTGTTTGTTTTGATTACATTAACACATTTGACATCATTGTAGATCTCAGTGGCTCTGATCAACTTCAGCATCAAAAGTAATGTTGCTTTACTGACTTTAATGTCTTTAAATCAGTTTTAGTGACACTGTTGTTGAAGGCGTTCAGATGTGTTTCATGTTTGTACATGTTAATTCACAGGTGCTTGCTGATGTAGTTGCAGGAAGCATGTGCCGTGTGAACTGTGTGATTTTTCTGTATATTGGTGTTCTAACAGTATGTAGATATTAATGTAAGTAATTTGTTAATCATAATAATAATATGTATTATAATATTTAAATATTTTGCTGCTGACTAACACATGAATACAAAAAAAGACATATTTAGCCTTTACAGTGTGAATGTGTGTTTGTGTGTGTTTGTGTGTGTCACTAATGTGAAGTCTAATGATGAGTGTTACATTTAGACAGTAATTATTGTCCGGCTACTGGGCGAGTGACGTATTATGGTGTTTAATTTGGGGAAGTTGGACTTAATGTGTATATTTGTAAAAACAAAACAAAAAAAATCGTTAATTGTAGGTAAAATGTTTGTGTGATCACATTAAATTTGTTCTAAGGCCTTTTGATTTTTGCATGTTGTTTATTTGATAGGGAAACAGAAGGAATCCTTGAGGCGTGGTGTCTTTAGAAGCAGTTTGAGAGGGAGAGCATTGCTGACTGTAACGACTAAAAAAGCATTCTAAAACTTGTGAGCTAGTAATTTACAGATATATACACACTGAAGGAAGTTGTAAACAATATTCAACTTAGAAAATGTTCACTGACGAAAATGTAAAAATGGATGAGTTCACAGATTAATTAAAAAAAGACAGAAAACTGATACCTAAGATTCTAAATTATATTTTTTTGGTTCAAAGATTCAGTTCATCTGTCAGACTCATAGTTATTTACATGTGACATTGGCTGTGGCTGCACATGAGCCTGAAAATTTAACCCAGCATGGTCTACACCAATTTTCTGAACCTAAAAACAAAATTTCTCAACTATTTGGATTTTCTATGTGCCACTCTGCCTTGTTTTTAGTCCTCTCGTGACAGCCCATTAAAAAAAATCCTGGAAACACTCAGACACACTTGGATTAAAGCTCCACAACAGTCTGAATTCAGCCTGGAACAGCTGCAAGTAATTCCCATCTCTCATTTGATGTCATTCTTTTAAAGTACACAAGTACAAGAAATAATAAACACATGCATAAATAATATATGTGAATTGGGTCTGTAATTCATAACATATGACAGAAGCAGAAAATAATATTTGATTATATTTTGGCAGCCTACTTTAAAACTTTATTTGATAGATACTACAATCTGCCAAATAAAGTGCCAACAAATTGTGAAATGAATAAACAAAGCAGTACTGTAGATGATAGCACTCAGGAAACTGTTCTTACTAAACAGTTAAAGAAAACAAAAATGAGGCCGCAAGCACTGATACAAGCCACAGGGTGGAGACAGCAGCTGGAGGAGACCTGAAGACATGGAAGAAAGCAGAGAGGGGGATTACTGTAATATCTTTTTTTTTTTTTTTTTTTTTTTTTTTTACAGTTAAAGTTACTGAAAACCCAACATGAGACATTTCCAGATGGTAAAACCTCAGAGATTCAGAACATTTTGAAATAAATAATTTATTTGAAACACATTTTTTAAGTAGCTGGATATATGAAATGTTTTCATGTGCTTTAAATGGTAAACATTTATATCTTTAATACCACAATGCTTCCAAGATCAAAATTTGTGAAATTTATAAGAAAAATTTTCACTTTAATTGAGTGAATATGAATCTTACCGTGAAAACATGTAACAGTTGTGTGAGCTGTTCAGTCCTGAGTGGTTTAAAACAATCTCAAGGTATTCGTCACCATCCGATGTAGTTTTT